TGGCGCTGGCTTGGACGACGACTCCCACTGGGGTCAAAACAGAGACTGCCGGAGCAGGAACGAAATTTCTAACGGACTTACACTGCTTGGTGGTGCTTGGGTGATACTTTCAGAAACCATGGACGGCCGTGCTGGTAAACTTGCAGAGACGCCTGCCTTCCTGCACTAGCCCTCCAACCGGCTGCAATTTGAACACTCCTTCCAGGGTCCTGCATCAGAAGGATATTGCCGAGCTGCGGTAACCACAGTGAGCCTCAGCTATGTGCGCAACAGTGGTGCATACCACGACAGACAGGAAAAGCTCCCGGAGCAGAATCTCCTCGAGGCCCAGCTTGTCTCCATGCCAGGGGGCAAGGGCATCGAACCATCCCGGTGCCAGTGCTCACGCCCAGATCCCGGGAAGTTCCAGAAAGCGCCACGGCTGGCCAGCTGGCCTCGGCTCAATGAGGGCCTGTCAAAGGCCTCTGACGCCAACAGACTGGGGGAGTGGATGGAGCTCTCAGTGCACTTGGAGGGAGTGCTCAGCATCCGGCAATCTGTGTCGAAAAGGACCTCACACAGACGGAGGAGGTCCTGACAAATAGATTTGCCGCAGTGAAGCTACACAGGCCAAGTTTGCCGCATTCTGTGCAAATGGCCTGACGTGCTGCCAATGGTCCAGATGGCTTGGGATCCTGCCCAGAAGTAAGTTATTTTCATTTAGAGCAAACGATCTTTAAGGCAGCGCGACGCCAAGGAAGCGCCTCCAAGGTCATGTCTAGCCGGCCGCTCGAAAAAGAAGACGCCTCCTGCTGCAATAGGGAAACAGAAGGCCTTCACCTGCTGTGATTGCAAGTGTTTGGGCTCTGTGCGCAGTGCCATGACACAGTCTCGGGTGTTGCTTGCATGCCGAATCCATGAGCGATTCACGTCCTGAAATCGAAACAAGTTTCCGGCTCCGGGCGTCGGCTTCGGAGTAGCCTCGCGGTTCCGACAACCCTTGCCTAGATAGACGCCGGTCAAATCTACAGCAAAGCAACACGTCAGCAGAAAAAAACATGTCTGATGGGCGTCAACCGGACTTCCGCCGAGACACCCAAGGCGCCAGGGGCTCGAGTCCTGAACAATCAGCAATAATGGAACTTCCCCACGCTATGGCATGCTGTAATCGCTTCGTTCTGGTTCGACTATAGATATATATATATATATATAGACAGTCAGGCCCTTTTCCGCAACCTCCATGCAACCCAAAAACCTGTTCGTCACCCCCCCGTCCGTCCCCCCTTGCCTTAGAGCAAGGAATTAGTCAGGCCTGCAAGAGTTCTGCGGAACAAGCACAGGCAGCATCGCAGATGCCGCAGGTGCGGGTGATGCTGGCTATCTGCCGCTCGCGAAGGTGGGGAGGGGCACCGGGAGTGATATTCGACGACAAGTGCCCACGCAGCTTCGCTGAAGCAGTATGCGGATGTATGCGGGCAGTGGTGGTTGAATGCTGGGTCCCATCACGAACTGGTAGCAAGGTTGGGTTGTGAAGCAAGGGCCGGGGTTGGTAAGCGATGTTGCCATGCGGTGACAGCGGCAGGGTTGCGCTCAGGTGCGGACGCGTTTTTCTGAAGCCATGCTGGTATGGAAGCAAGCAACACGTGTTCTGAAGGCCGGCAACAGGCGGATAAGCTGTTTTGTCAGATGAGCTTGACTGCAGCCACTCCATTGGCTTTCAGATCAGCCAAACCGAAGGAGAAAGAAAGAATCAGCCAAACCGAAGGACTCTTTCCGAAGTGGTGGACGCCCAATGCCAAGCATCTCGGATGCTAAGTCATGCTGCAGATTGCTGCAGGAATGCCATCGTGGTCAAGATATCTCAATCGCATCGCATGCTCGATACTTCCGCTGAGCTTCATTCGCTGTGAAAGGCCAGACACTGGAACAACTATCGGTGCCACGGTCCCTGCTTCCGCTTGCGGCCATGAAGGAAGAAAGATTTGACTAGGCCAACTGGGCTTCCGAGAATGACGTTGAAACGAATTCTTGTGAAGAATGAGACATGTGAGGGCGATGTGATGCGGAAAGCTTAGTATCAACAAACTCCTTCGATTCTTGGCAAAGTGAGACTGTAGCACCACTCGTGCTCTTCTCTGTTGTTGCTCCCTGGCTTTCTCTTTCCTTCGCCAGGCTTAAGTCCACGATAAGGGCACGCCCGACAGTTGGTTGGGCGCGTGGCCTCAAAGGCGATTTGACGCCCCAGGAACTACGATCGTAAAGGCCCGCGTTTGCCGGATCCAAGACGAAGGCGTCTGATCTCTCTGAGGCGCCTCGAGCTGTAGGACTGGGACTCTGAAGGATGGTCGCCTTCAGCCGCTATGCCACGTCGCCCCAAGTTCTGTGCGAGGAGAACGGCAACACAGCAAAACAGCTCGGCACAGCAACAAGCTTGGGTTAAGGTATGTTAAGGTTCTTTGCACTTGCCCCGCTCTTGGTTCCCGACAGTCTCAGCTGCGGTGCACGATGCCCCGAGCCGAGCAAGCAAAGAAAACGTACAAGCTCGGCATGCAGCACGACAGCACCGATATGATGAATGGTCTTAGTTACCCTGTCCCAGGCTTGGCTCAAGACATTCGTGTAGAGGACAGGGGTGTGAGCCCTGCCCCTCGCGCAAATGCATCCCCCGCTTGTTGTGGAGCGAAGAGTGAAGCAAGAGGCGAAAGACTAGACCTTTTGACCGAGTGCAGCACAAAGATTTTTGTCTGCATTCGATAGTCCGAATCGGAGTCCGAGGGCCCCCGAATCTTTTAGCCCCAGTGAAACAACCCGAAGAGGCTTGCAAGCAGCCTGGAACGGAAACAGCCCTGACAGACCCCTGCTACCCGATGCGGCACCCGACCCTTGGATTGCAGTCACCCTGACAATCGACACAAATCGAAAAATAGTACAACCTTATGTAGTAGCACCCTGCCATGTTGTGAAGAAATACTTTGCAGTCGCCGTGGAATGGCACACAACTGGTTCTTGGTCGCCGGTTAAAGCAGGAGCCACCATTTGCCATCCCAGAGTCCGAGATCTTGAGCCGTCGCCTTGATCTCTTCTAGCGCCTGAGCTGCGCACTGCACAAGCCTCTTTGGCTACACGAGACTCGAGAAACCTGAAGATCACCCTATTACTATCACACTTGTGCATCTTTCCGCGCCTCGTCTGCTTCCGCCTGGGCGGCGCAGAGCTCGCTGGAACGCAGCACGGAAGCACCGCGCAGCACGGCGAAGCCCACCTAGCATCTGGAAGTCGTTTAAGTACATCGTTGATCAAGATCGACAGATGAAGATTGACAAAGTCTCAATTTGAGGAACTGAGATGTTAAATTCACCCTGGCTGATGAGGCTGCCAGCGCAGCTCTGCCCATCCCCCCTTCTCGTCTTAGCTTAGGGCGCTTACTAAGCGCCGTGGCTTGGCTCAGCCAGCGGACACTAGTGGATTGGCTACGGACACTTGCCTCTGTCTCTCAAGAAGCATCCGATGAGCGTCAGGCATCAACAACGGCCACAAACATCCTCCTTTTCGTCTCACCCACCCATGCACAGACACTCGCTCGCCCGCTTGATGTCTCGCTGACACACATGCCGGAATGAACACTATCTAACTGCAACATCATGGCAAAAAGTATGATTGCTGTTCAGCTGCTGTTTGTATCGCTGCAGCAGCTTTGGCCACAGTTACTGCGCTCCTCGGGTGGTATTGAGGCTGTGGTGAGACTGACACCGTAGACTTGGAGAACTTTATGAGCCCAGCCCCAACTCCAGGATGCAACAGCTCGTGACTCTGGGACACTCTGAACTCTGAAGCAATCAGAAGAAAGCTCATGAGCCAAGTCTTAGGCTTGCGGTCAAGCAACAGCTCGCCGAGCAAGCCCTCCTCATCGGGGACGTGGACCATCCACCTCGGATCCGAGAATCCATGGAACAAAAGGGAGATTCTGGTACCTCATGACTGACGCGCGCCAGAACGCAGGCGAGCGAGGGCCTGACGGGTCCCAAGCTTGCAGCTTGATACCTGTTTTCTCTGCGAACTGGCTGTCGAAGACAGCAGAAACCGTGGCAGAAACATAGGAAACCCGAGAGCTGCTCCCCCGATGTGCCTGACTGGATGTGGGTTCTTCTGACTTGAGTTCGGCAATGCGCTCGGAATTTGCGAACTAAACTGTGACTCCCTGTTTTCCAGCGGTGGGGGGGACGATCAGCGATGCCTTGCCAGATGGATCTCTTTCTTCGACAGGCTTGAAACAAGTTTCGCGTCTTTCCCGGAAACCATGGGCATTGGCATGAACCCAGGGAAATAGATAGGAGTCACTTGCACTGATGCCAGGAATCACTCACCCAGAACTTGGCTTCTAATGGTTCCTTGCTCACGCTGATACCTATCAGCAGGATGACAGCTGGAACGAGAAGAGAGCAGGACTCGATCTCTTTCCTGTCGGATACAACTCAGATTGATGCACGGGTACCCAAGCATCGCCGAAGTAAAGCCCACGATCTCTGAGTGTTCGAAAGCTTTTCATTCCGAAGCCTGTTCGAGAGGTGTTCCGGCCCAGTTTCAGTTTTGACCCTTCGTCACAGCTGCTATGCTTCTAACTGCTGCCCTGTGTTGTATTGCGGAAGTGGTTCTGGTCAGAGCAGGATATTTCGGGCAACCTGCAAGCCAACAGCAAACCACCACAACATGTCGAAGCCAGAAGCAAGACGTTGTAAACAGGACCGGAGCAATTCCAGACAACGGAGGCCGGAGCGAGCGAGCGAGGGAGCGAGCGCGGAGTGATGCCAACTGAGGCAGAAAGAGAGGGAAGATTGGAAGAACGACTCTTCGCAAACCTACCAGCAGCACAGCACCCGACTTCCGTCCCAACTAACCGTACCAGAACCTTCCTTGCAGGCGAGCCCACGGTTCGTTTGATGGCGACTCCTGCAGAATGCCACGCTCCTGGCGGCCGAAAAGGCTGTGTTCAGCAGCATCTTGTGAAGTACTCTGCGTGCCACGCGCCACCCGATGTCTGCTGCCAGGTGTCTTGAAGGTCTGCCCGGCTCGAGCGCGGGAGGCCTTTCAAGGTGCGGTATCCGAAATAACCTCGTTCTGGAAACAGTACTGTGGTTCGGTGTTCAGAACGTGTGGATATGGCCAGGGCAAAGCAAGACGTCCAGACCAAGGAAGATCCAACACCCATCCGACTCCGTGGAGCCCGAAGCTTGGCTTTTTCTGGCGCACGATGCTTGCAGTCCAAGGCACACCGCAAGCCCCCCAGGCATCCTTGGCATTGGGCAATCTGAGCGATCTGGGTACGGGCATCTCGACAGACATTGCGCAGACTGTGACTGTCTACTGCCTGTAATTTGGCTGAGAACTACGTGTTTCAGACTCTTCTGAAGACAACACAGTGCTCCTCAACATTATGAATGCCAAGACCCTTTCGGTTCTGCCATCGCGGCAAAGCGTCTCGTTGGCATGTGTGTAGACAGAGGCAGCTTCGAGACTGCTGGCCCATGGCCTATGCAACGATTAACAAGTCCAGCCTACTGATTCACGCCCCCGCAACCCCTATGGCTCCTCAAAGGCAACATTGTCAAGTCAATTTACCGCTACTTGCGGGTATTAACATGCATCGGCAGTACGTGCAAGGACAACGAAGCACTTTGATGGATGCTGGGGAGTACATGACAGCACAGCCTGACATGACAGCAACTCTGTTGACGATACCGTGACCTTGTGTTAAATTGCAGCCTCCAGACTGTTGCGGGGGTTCCTGACTTGTAACGATCCATTTTTGGATCAAGCGCATCGGAGGCTATGTGCGTTCTGCGTGTCCCTTCCACAGCGGTTCTGCACAAGAACAAAGGTCCACGGACCACCTGTTGAGGTGCTAACAGGCTCTAACTCCTTAACCCCAAGGCCCAAGGAGGGGTCCGGGGTTCAGGAGTCAGAAGGATCCCGCTGCAGACCTTAATGCTGCATTGCCAGAGTCCCTGGATTCACCATAGACCTCTGTCTGCGAAAGGAATTATGGAAAGAGCTAGTTCGCCGAATTTCGGCAGCATGTGCGAAGGACAACACGATCGGAAAATTACACCTCTTCTGACAAGCCGATGCCAAATGGTGCAATGCTTTGGCCTTTATGACTTGCAGCTCTGGCCGTTTCGCACCCAAGGCACGAGAGACACACCACAGGGCTGCAGGTGCCAGCAGCTTGCCCCAAGATGCACGGACAGCCATGGCCAAGAACCACTGCAGTAGTTTGGGCGCCAGCTTACACTTCACCTCTACTCTGGACGTGCAGCCCTGTACATGCCCATCTATCTACGATTTTACGTGCGTCCAGGCTACATTAGCAACCGCATGGGTTCCGCTTGTTGCTCAGACCACCTGCTGCGACCTGTAAGCCAAGCCTTGCTTCCGTCGACCATGCATCGGCGCACAGCACAAGGCACTGTTCCGCGTCAAGACGACACGAAGTGCCAAGACAAGAGCTGATGAACAGCGGGTTCGACATGCTGTACAGAACGGTTGTTTCAAATGGTTGCTTCGGCCTCCGGTGCATCCTCGACACCAGCAGGCACCCGCAACCGCAGCCTCAATTTCAGACGCACCCGAGGCATGCGGATACTATGCGATGCGATAGTCTTCTCACAGGCTCGAAAACACAAGATGGCAGACGACGGGCTGCTGATTCTGGCTCTACAAGAGCTGATGAGCGTCCGCTGTCCGGCCGAATCGTTTTGCCCCCGAAACTTCTCAAAAAATACTGTCACGGACTCGGCTGGGCTACGAGCTTGACGCGTTGAGGCTGGCTTGCACCATAGCCGCCACCTGGAGCTCGTGAACAAACTATCTATCTGCCCCACACGACGGAAGGATCTCCGACCCCACCCGGATCTAGGAGGGCTCTGAAACTCTGGAGACTAAGCATCAAACATTGTTGAAACGGTAGCTGGTCTGTCCCTTGTAGCTGCACGATCATTGAAAGTCACCGGGGGAAGCTCCACAATCTCTGTCTTCTGACTCCGCGATCTTTGCTTTGGCGGATTGACCACATCCGGAGACAGGGGATTCTCGTCAGAGTCTGCATCCATCACGTCTGGCGCCAACCTGCCCTATGATAATTGTGCCATATCAGAAGCCCCCTCTGCCGTTTTGTGGAACTCTGCATTGTCAGAACCCTCTGCTATGTAGGAGCCATGCAACCTGCTTTTGACCCTATGCCCTATGGCATGCGAAGGACCTGCTGTCATGTCGAATGCCTTGGCAAAATGGCAACTGCAGCTTTGTCATCTAACAACTTTCCTCAAACATCCCACTGTAGCCTAAGAAGATGTATGGAATCTATGGCGCGGTCTGTTCTGGAGCCTCCAAACCCTCCCATGGAAAGTCACACCTTCCGTGTCGAGAACGCGGGGGGAAGGCCGTGGTGAAGTGGTGGATGCCATTGCACCGGCCACCCGAATCAAATGACAGCAGCTAGGGCCGCTAGGGGTGCAAGAGCTTACCTTCGAGACTAGACACTGCGTGCCCACTGCTTGCTTGCATTTATAATTACCTTATGCCAAAATTTGAGATGCTATCTCCAGTGCGGGCAGGTCAAAGCTCCAAGCTTCTAACGTGATCTGACCTTTCATGAAGAATCCCGAAGCTTCATATGCCGACAGTGAGGTCGCAAAAAGCGTTGCAGAAGACAACAGCCAACAGCGTGAGCCACTGCATGAAAAGACGTGTCAGAAGCAGACTTCAACTTTGGGTTGCTCGACGGCGTGCGACACGTGTCTTAGGGGACGATCTACCTAAGTGAAACTTCTATGTTTCAAATTAGAGCGATCCGCCGCCAGCATAGGCATGGAGATCAGGAATGAACAGCTGAGCTGAGGCTAGCAAGGTGCTGCAAACTGAAGCTAGAGACAGAATCCATGCCTGCAAATTGGCCAAAAGGCTCGAGGCAACTTCAGCTGCCCCCGCCGTGCGACCACATGCAAATCCACATCCACCTTCAAACATCTTAGATGTTCCAGTGAGATCTGGAAACGTGAAACATGCTACATTAACGGCAAGGGAGGATCCCCGTTTCGGAGGATAACCCTTGCGGCCATGGCTATGGCCCGTGCAACTGTGCGCACATGCGCCTGCCGGCCGGCGGCACAGAACAAATCAGCCGGTTAAGTTCCCAGTAGTTCCCAAACCGTCTGCTATACGGCCAGAGCCGCCCTTCCGACACGCCTGCTGTGTACATGGCTTCAAGGCCCAGGTCAGACCAACTACCATTTTTCAAGGAGCGAGATTGCTGTCTGCGATTGAATGTTCATGTCCGTGTTTCTTCAATCCAGTCTCCCTCATGAGAAGAAGCATGCGCGGGCCTCCTTCTCTGCTTCATTACTCACTGGCCTTGCTAGCATCAGGCCAGCATATGCTTTGCACCGAGAAGAGCGAACCTTTCAGCCTTGCGAGTTCAGCGCTCAGGCCCATCCTGCTGCTCTCGAAATGGCCGGTGGAGTATCGGCTGAGGTCACGCAAGGAGCTCTCAAGGCACTAAATTGGGCAAAGCCTCAGGCTTCGCGCACATGATGTCTCCAGGCGACAGCTGCAAGTAGTGCAAGCACCTCAGGTGTTGCAATGCACGACACGTGACATGGCCGTGTTTTGGAGGTCACAGCAGTCATGCACCTTATGGCGTATGGATCTGGGCTCATCGCCGACCAGTTGGCCCGCACCGGTGATGCGTCACCAGTTTGGGTAAAGGCGATCGACGACGGGTGAGACTGCAGGGTTCCGCGTTTGCAACATGAGGTATGAATCTATTGTTGCATTGGCTTGTCACGAATACGAACACGAGTTGGAGACTGTGGCTGCAAGTGACTGTTCGGGCCTCACCCATTCCAAAGCCTGCCAAGGGGAAGCTGACCAAGGCCTCAACATGGCATGTCCCGGTAAGCAGTTGCATCTTCTTCCTAAGCACAGTTCACCCAGCTGCACCGGACTCAGGCGGCAGCACGCGGATCATCGGAACCCGTGCAGGACTCATTCCGAATGGCTGGACTGCAAACGGTCAGCTCCCAGATCTCAGCATGCAGAATATTCCAGCCAAAGACCCACTGGCTGAACGCAAAGGAAAACACCGCGGCTTAGGTCGGGACATTATACTTTGGCATGACGGCGGGCACCATGATGGGCCACTGGAACCTGCGAGCTGCCAGATGCTCACATATGGCGTGTTTCTTTCAGGCTACGTGGTCACAGCAGCGGTAGCAGCAACAGCCGACTTGGCAAATGCAAATACTAGAAACAACAAGACAAATGCAACTGCAGCAAGAAGTACGACGATCATGACCATGGTAGCACTAGAGATATCAATAGTGCCGGCAACAACTTCAGCAGCGGCGACGACGACCAGGACGACCACCACAACCACAACAACCAAACTACAATAATCACAACAACGACACTACAACGACCACAACAAGCACAACAACCGCAACAACCACCAACACAAAAATCTTTAAAGGCACTAACAGCTCTGTATAACATTGATATCAGTGGCAATGAACATGATCATAGTGAGATGAGTGATCACACTGCCTGTACGAGCCAATGGCCAGCTTTTGGATGGCTTCCTCATCCATTAGCAGCCTCAGCCTGCCATGCTCTGGCCTAAACAACCTGGCTTCGACTGCATGGACTGCACTCGTTGCCTTCGTGGATCAGTGACGTCTAACCAGCCGCCTGCGCAGAAATGAAGTCTTCGAAGGCATCGTTGCATCGTTGTGTGTCCCGGTTTCTATGAAGCCTTCTCTTCGTGGAAGTGGTTCCGTCAAGGTCTCCAGCTGCGCTGTCTTCTGGACCTCCAGCTCTTCGTCTTGGTGGATTCAACTGGCATCCCTCTTGTGCCTGGTGGGAGAAGTCCGGAGGCATCTCAATAATAATCTCGCTCATGATGGGTGGATCCTGCGTCGGGGGGCGGCCCGGGGCGGCCCGGAGCGAGAGACCCGGACCTGGCCTTGAGCGGCAGTTCTGCGAGCAGCTCAATGCCGGTGCTGACGAAGGTATTCCTCAGAGCCCGGATAGCCGGATGAGACCCTAAACCCTACTCAAAGCCTTGCGCTCTTGGACCTATAAAACAATTAGCGTCATAGCACCAAGCGGATGAGCGGCCTGTTCGGCTCGGCCATGCCCCAGATTAGAGGCATTGCTGAAATTGGCAGGCCGTGTTGGATCCGGAGGCCAGGAATGCTCATTGCTGCGTCCGACACCTTCCGGCTGGCTTTACAACTCAAGCCAGTCTCGAACGTTGTCTGGCTTTCTCTGCCTGCCCAGTCGGCGTCAGAATGATGATGTAGAATACATTGTCATTCACAGCGGCAGGGCAGGTGCTAGTGACCTGGCTAAGCAGAGTCGCGGCAGCATCAATAGCTTCATTTGTAAATTAACGCTGCGTTATTGCAAGGCCCTTGCCGTAAAAGCTTGCTGGCCAGGGGGAAGCGGTCTGTCCAGCCGCAGCTCGAAGTAACCCTGTTGGACCAGGAAAGTAAGGCGTCGACGTCGAAAAAGCGATCATTCAGTGCCTCCTGGATGAAGTTCATGCAGGTCACCTCCCCGGTAATCGCCACCTGCCCAAGCCAGGCTGCTCAGACTGCCAAGACTTCTCGTTTCTATCACAACCTTGCCTGGTTCAAGTACAGGCCATTGCACAGGACCTCGATGTCCCTGTCGGCTCACAGATTCCGGACAGCTGAGGCCATCGTTGAAAGACATGCCAGAGCGACGTTGGATATCCTACACGGATGGCTCCACCTGACTCGATTTTTTCCTTGGCACACCACAACGCAAGTGCATAAGTGAGACCATTTTACACGAGCCTTGAATTCTGAGGCGAGCAGCATTCGTGATAAAACTGAAAGCCATCTGGCCGGGAATTTGCGGAATGCCGGGATACAGGACGTGCGCACCTGAAGCGCGGAAGTGGCAAGAGATGAAGATCCGAGCACCCAGAGTCGTTATGTCTGACTGAGCTCCACACCCAACATCTGCCGAATCAGAACCCCGGAGGGATCCTTCAGATGAAACCGAAATCCCGGATGGCAACACCCTGAGCGCTGCGATGTCCTCCCCCCACGCGAGCTGCAGGTCGCTGGCCATGTCTCGGGCCTCAGAGCTTTCAGATGCTGCGGGCTCACTCGTGAAAGGCAGCCGAGGTGCATTGATGAACCAGCTGGTGCTGGGGGGATTCTGTGCCGGCGTTGTCACCTTGATCACCTCAGGAAAGGCATGGACAAAAGCACAACGGATGGACAAGCAGCTGCACTTGACTGCCTTTGGCTGCACATGGAATTTCAGTGCTTACGAGTAGGGCTTAGGATTCCACAACCTGCTCGAGCACGGATGTCAGACCTGAGTCGTTCAGCCAATGCCGCTACTCACAAAACTGCAAAGGGAGCATAGCGAGACTTACCGAGCCGCCCACGTGCAACCGTGAGCCGAGCGGAAGCTCGTCCAGCAACGTTGCCATGCCTTGGTAGTACACCCGTTGTGGCTGCGTAGGCTTACGTGCCTCTGAAAAAGCCGATGTTGAGCCTCACACAACTGGCAGGAAGTGACTCGATTGAAGGAGCCTCGATTTTGCAGAATGGACGCGATGAAGCTCGTAACAAAAGCATCTTGGGTGTCGGACTCGTTACAAGGCAGTTCCTGACGAGTGAGTTGCAGTTCACGGTGACGTGACATGACACGAATGAATTTGTTGCTTAGCCGCGGCGTGAAGTTGAAGCCAAGCGGTGCGACCAGGATCAGCTCATCCGGCTGGGAAGACTTCGGGTCCACCATCAACTAGGCAGCGCATGGATGAGCGCACGCACGATGTCGCACTGCTGAGGTGAGGACGTTGACATCAATCGCGGCCATTGGAGGTGAACGCGACGCCTGCACCTTGCTCTCATTGCAGCGCGCTTTGAGACTTTAACCAAAGCAAGAGACCTCATCGGCCATTGTGAAAGAAAGTGTCTGTTGTCAAGCGGCTGTCAGCTCTGCCCGCTCCACGAGACGGAAGCCCTGCCAACATGCTCAGACAAGAGGCGCTTCCGAGGTTGTCTTTGCGAAGCGCCGGAGCTGCCTCGGTGAGCCCGTCGTTGGTGTTCAAGGGCAGCTGGCTGCCATCCAGAATCTGCAAGCAGACTGCAAGCGATCGCACAGGGCCACATCGCTGTGGGACAAGAGCTGCATCTCCGCATTCAGCTGCTCAAGTGCCATGCAAAGCGACGCGAAGCATTTTCGCCGAAGGCACGGCTCACGGACACAGTGCCTTGTCAGAAGGCGCTAGAAAATTTGGCATCTCAAGTCCCAAGTGGTCCTCCCTCTGGTTACCAGACGGATGACGTCGAAAAACCGGGAACTGAAGAGCCGTTCCATGAAGCACCAGCTTGCTTTCAGCATGCGGCACGATAACAGATGAGCTGGGTGTGAAATAAGGACCGACCATACATGCTGTCTCCAGTGATCCAACACGACACTGCCATGCCTCTTCTGGTCGTCTCTTAGCCCAGCTCAGGCTCCCTGCAGGCATGGTATCTGCCTAACTAAGCGATCACACCAGACGCGAGAAGGTTGGAAGCTTCATCCGTCAGCTCAGCGCCCGCCGATGCCGCAGCCTGCTAGAACCGACTTGTCTTGCCAGCTTTGCTACATCTCTGAAACTCAACAGAACCGGATATTGTGGCAGAAAAGAACAAAAGAGCATGCGTGGCTCCTACAGTGGCCCCTGGGCCCTGACCAAGCCGAGGCTCCCCAGGACGCCGCTGACGGACAAAGGCGAGAAGCGCCAATGAGATGAGCAGCGCTGCTGACAGCAAGACCACCACGATGAGGCCAAGATTTGATCCCTCCGGCGGCTCCGCCGTACTTTGCAAGCCGTCCGCCGCGAAGAGTCTCTGCACATTTGCACCGCAGAGCTGGTCAATCTCTGCTTGGTTGGTGGTTTGCATCACCGGTACGATGCCCTCAAACTCGCTCGTGGCCGGGGTCAGGCCGCTCATGTCACTGAAGGTCAGCGCGAAGGTAGCCTTTGCAGACAGGAAGACATCCTGCTGCTGCGGTGACGGCGTTGTGGCATCTATGTTGGCGCACAGTTTGGATGCCTTCCACTCTACGACCTTGCTGCGCACGAAGCCACTCAAGCGGTTCCATTGGGCTGGGTTCTTTACTCCTGAGAAGATTAGCTTGGTGGGCGGTGTAGTCGGTTTCGGTGTGGTTGTGACCACCAGTGGCTGCTCGTTGGCCTTGCAAGTGGGCTTTTGCCAACCCCATGGAAACTTGTCATCAGTTTGCTTGGGGTGACAGGAGCACTGGTCAATGGGCTGGCTGTCCATGCACGGAGGCTGGCAAAAGGCGATCGGGGTCAGACACTTCATCCCACCATCCTTAACACACTTTTTCATGAAGGGGCAACAATAGAATCCATCTGCGCATTGCTCACTGTGCAGGCAGCGCTCACACGCACCCAGCTGACCTTTCTGGATGCAGCTAAGCATGCAAATGTGATTTATGCAGGGTTCATGGCTTGGGGGCGCTTGGTGTGGCGGAAGTGGTGGTAATGCCGGTGCCACCTGAGCAGGAGCAGCAGGAGGTTGCATCTTCGGACACTGCTTGACCAGAGCTGGTACCTCGGGGTCGCCGGAATTGCCGACTCCATGCTGGCAGCCGCCAGTGTTAGGAGGTCCAACAGTGTTGGGCACGCTGCACCCCGCATCTGAACCCCCCGCAGCAGCTGCATACCGGCAGCTCACGACCCGCAAGTCTCCACGGAGCCCAACCCAGCAAGCAACGCGACGTGCATCCTTCCAGATGAGAGCAGTGTAATGGTTCAACTCCGCACCACAGCCTGGCTGGCTCCCTTGCCCCGGGCATGCCAAGACCTCCCGATACCAGTCCCAGACACTCTCCTCCGGTGGATCGTTTATTGAGTTGAACTGGCGGGCATCCAAATTCTCCGCTTGCTGCGGCAGCTCTACACCCGTGTAGAGGTTGGGATCATGGGGCCTGCCCGACGATGCCTGTGCCCACGCCGCCAGGTCTGCCCCACTCGCACAGTGCTGTAGAAGCTTCTCCACCCAGGCTTTGGCATATTGCACCAGCTCCTCTCCCCATGCTAGCCCAGGAACTCCATGGCAGGCTCTGTAATAATTGTGGGCGTCCACCCACCTCTGCGGATCGTTATGGCTGGGGTCAGCCCTGATTTCCGCCGGATTGAAGTTCGCCGTGCAGTGGCCTTGGTCGCCCCAAGCCTCATCCTGCAGGCGTCTGGAGGTCCGGGTGGTGTTTGGACTGGCTAATGTGACCTGGAAGGCCTGAAACACCAGGAAGATCTCGACAACTCGAGCATGTGGCATGGCCACTTGCACCTTCACCCTAAGATGAGCATTCTAAGCCAACGGCTGTGGCAATCGCTTTTGGGACTCGGGTTTCTTCCCTCAAGAGCTTCAGAAGTCTTGGCACGGCCCACCTCGATGCTCCACATCGCATCTGTGGGGTTCGGGACTCTCGGAGTGAGAGCTCTCACCGAGGCCTCTCAGCACCCACAAAGAGCCACGGCTCAAAAGAGAAGCTCCAGCAGGGCCTCGTAGAGAACTCCTCTGAAGAGCTGTGTCCCGAGACGAACCGCCATCTCGCCGGAAGATGTGCTCGTGACCTCCACCACATGCCAGAGATCCGACGAAAGATGGTGTTCTAAAGAGAGCAGAGGTACATATCATGCGGCCTCAGAGGTCACGGTCTCAGCTGTTCCGCTCTGAATGATGTTAAAGTCCTGAGCCTGTGCAGCTAGGCGCTATGGAGGCTGCAGATGGACTGAACACAGCAGGCATCTGTGCACCTGTAGGTCGTATGGAGGAGCTCTCAAGCGCATCAAGTTGCCAACCTGCAGCGGGACTTCAATGGCCAGGGGGTTGTCTCAGGGAAGACTTCGATGCAGCAGTCGTCTGTCCTGCAGTATGGAACCCGTATGTTTGCATGCGTGCGGGCGTGCGTGCGGGCGGGCGGGCGGGCGGGCGGGCCGGGAGTCCGTCGCGTGTGGTGTGCGTGCAGATGTATGCATGTATGTATGCATGCATGCACGCACGCACGAACGCATGCATGCATGGATGGAGGCGTGTGTAGCTGGGTAAAGAGGAATTAAGTAATATGGTTTGTACTGAGGACTAGGCCGCAGAGTTGATGGTCACAGTGAAGGGCAGCTCCACAACCGCAAACTCACCCATGCGGACCTCTTCGTGTCAGGATGTCAGGGGCTGCACTCCCCTGGCGTCGAGTTTATGGTTCGAGAGGCCTCCCAAAGAGATGGCACGGGATACAGTTCTGGCATGAGCTTGTACCTTGCGAGGGTATAAACCGCACGAGCTTTCGAGGGCAGACCAACGACAAATCACAAGGGCGGCTGTCAGCAGGTGGCTCACTCGCTGCTGATCTGCTTCCCTGTAACGGCAACCTCGGCTGCAGCGGAACTTGCAGTCGCGCAAGACGGCAGCATCGAGCGATTTCCGAAATCGAGCTACCACCGACTTGCCAAGCCGCTCTGCCCGGCAGTCGGAAGCCAGAACGAAAGTTGAGCGCCTCGTCCATCTGAGCCTGCACGAGAAGCAACCACTGCCGACGCAGCATCGTGACATGAGGTGCATGGAAGAAGGACTGAGCTGGGGCTGGAACCCCGTTGTTGAGTCTCGTAATCAGGTTGAAGAGTGTCGGGCCCCCGTTAAGCCCCAGCCGGAAATTCGCAATGACGATGTCCACATTGACCTGGAAAGAAATCAGCACAAAGGCCGCCCTGCGTTGCAGCTTCCCAAAGGTTTTCGGCGGGCTGTGCGGCCTCCGCATAAGTAGATGCCCGAATTCGGATCGTCTCGGCGTTAGTTGCAATGACCTTACTGGCATCGTCGCCAAAAAATTCGCTGCTTCTGCTCAGGATCGCAGACCTCGTGGCCCAGCGAGATTGCTGAAGCACCGGTGAAGTCAAAGCCGGTGGGCTCCAGTGCCTGCAGGCGCCCTTCTAAACGAAATGGGTTTTTGATGACCAGCCCCGGTGGGACCTCAAGGCTAAGCTCGTCGGCATCGGAGACAGGTCTGTACGAGACGGCAATGGTGGACACCTGGTGACTCGCGAATTCGAAGGTGCCACACTCTCGCAGCCTCCGACAGAGGCTGGGACCGAATTTTCTGCCTTCTGCTCCCCTACCAGCATGACCATCACGTTGGCAAGCTGTGGAACCTGACGCTGAAAACTTCTCAGTGCTTTCACCAGGCTCCGAGCGTTGCAACTGCAGTTACCCAGTTACTTCTTATCATTCTTCTTGCTACTGTCTTCGTGTCGTCGTCGTCATGGTGGTGGTGGTGGTGGTAGTGGTCGTCGTCGCCGCCGTTGTCGTCATCATCCTCCTCCTCGTACTCGTACTTGTACTCCTAGTCCTCAAATTCCTTCTACTCCTGCTACTCCTCCTCCTCCTCCTCCTCCGCCTCCTCCTGCTCCTCCTACTCCTCCTACTCATTACTCCCTCTGCTCCTCCATACTCCACTGCTGCCACTGCTGCTGCCACTGCTACTGCCACTGCTACTGCCACTGCTATTACTACTACTACTACTACTACTACTCCTCCTCCTCCTCCTCCTCCTCCTGCTGCTGCTGCTGCTGCTGCTGCTGCTGCTGCTGCTGCGGCTGCTGCTGCGGCTGCGGCTGCTGC